GTGACAGCATCTCAACTGCCAGATGTTGGGGCAGGGGAAGCCAGGTGGTGGCTCTGCTCAGGCTGGGGTTGTTCACACAGTGGTGCTCTGGTGTTCAGCTCGACTTGGCAACTCGTCCAAGAGCACATTGATGCATTTGCAGACCTGAGCTGCTGCCTGCATTCTGCAGTCTGCATGAGGCAGACCTAATCCACTGGATTTGCCTCTTTTTGGTTGAGTTGGAAGGGAGAGCTTGCACATAGACCTTGAGGCAAGCATGCAGAGCGGCTGGCACAGGAAGCAGTGACCAGCAGCCTGGACACAGCAGCCTTAGCCTGGCATGCAGAAGCAAGGCATGGAGAGAGAAGGATTGCTAAGCTGGCTCGCCCTTTCTTCTTGGCACTTCTAAGCAGGATTAAGAGTGCCTGCACTGCATTATTTGCTGAGTTTGATGTATCAGAGAGCTCCACAAAGGTGGTGCTCCAGCTCTGTGTCTTGCAAAGAGTTGGTGCTGTTTCATAATTATGACACCCGTGCTAAAGCTCAGCCCCCAGTAGGTACCACGAACACGAACAACTTGTTCTGGGGGTGTTTCCCCCCCAGACCAAGTTGTTCCTTTATTTCCATGCATCTACATGCACTGTCATTGAACCTGCTAGGCTTTTTGTGGTCGTTGTGCCTGCAGCTCTCCTCTGCACCCACCTCCTCGTGCTGCCAGTTCTCTCACTGCCATGTTTGAAATCACAGGGCTATCGCCAGAAGGACTCCTATATCGCCAGCCAAGGGCCACTGCAGCACACAATAGAGGACTTCTGGAGGATGATCTGGGAGTGGAAATCCTGCTCCATAGTGATGTTAACAGAGCTGGAGGAGAGAGGTCAGGTAAGCATTTGCTGTAGAGGCAGCAAAGGAAATCAGAGCACATCCATAAACCCTCCAGTGCTGTGCACTGTGCTGTTCCCAGTGCTGTGCACCTTCAAGGCAGCGAGAAAAATGTGTATTTTCACCCTGCCTCCTCTTGCAATTCTTTCTCAGGAGAAATGTGCCCAGTACTGGCCTTCTGATGGCTCTGTGTCCTATGGAGACATCAACGTGGAGCTGAAAAAAGAGGAGGAATGCGAGAGCTACACAGTGCGGGACCTGCTGGTGACAAACACCAGGGTAAGGATCTGCCACTGCCCTTTGGGGAACTCTGGTTGTCTTTTGGTTGCCTTATTCCTGTGCCTGCTATTCCCACTTTCCTTGTGCTCTCCATTCCCACGTCATGCTCTGCCATACACCAAGCAAATGACTCTTCCCAAGCACACACACCTCCTATGGGTTTTCATGAGGCATTCAGCAAGTTGGTTCGTTGGTAGGAATTGGGCCGTGCTGAGTTTCTGGCTGTGCTCTTCTGCCAGGAAAACAAGAACCGACAGATCCGACAGTTCCACTTCCATGGCTGGCCAGAGGTTGGGATCCCCAGCGATGGGAAGGGAATGATCAACATCATCGCAGCCGTGCAGAAGCAGCAGCAGCAGTCAGGCAACCACCCCATCACTGTGCACTGCAGGTGAGCCTGGGGAGCTGCTTCAGGCTGCAGAGATTTGGGGTTTGCTTCACCTCAGTGCTGCGGTCTGACTGTGCATCTTGTGCATGGAGATAACAAAACCACTGACAAACCTGGGCTGCTTGGGAACGATGGGATGGTTTCACCTTCTTGGTTTCTCTTTGCCAGTGCCGGAGCAGGAAGAACAGGAACCTTCTGTGCACTGAGCACTGTCCTGGAAAGGGTGAAAGCAGAAGGGATTCTTGATGTCTTTCAGACAGTAAAGAGTTTAAGACTACAGAGGCCGCATATGGTGCAGACACTGGTAAGCCCTGGACCTCAGCAGGAATGAGTTGGGGACTCAAACCTGTTAAAACCTGTCGAGATAAACTTCCTCAGCTGAAGATTTGCTCCCTCTGTGAAAGAGTAAGGGATAGAGGTGGGTCGGGAGGGATCTCCCCGTCCTCCTGTGGTGTGTTCAGAAGAGAGGAGCTGGCCTGGCTGGTTGCATCAGCCTCCCTCTGACATGAGCTGTAGGAGCCTCCCTGCAGACATCCTCATCTACAGTCCCTGGAATTCTGGGCTCCAGGAGCCTGGAAACCATATTTAGGTTGGATGTGAGGGGGAAGTTCTTGACAGAGAGAGTGGTGAGGGGCTGGAACAGCTGCCCAGAGAGGTTGTGGATGCCCCGTCCATCCCTGGAGGTGTTCAAGGCCAGGTTGGATGGAGCCCTGGGCAGCCTGGGCTGCTATGAAATGTGGAGGTTGGTGGCCCTGCGTGTGGCAGGGGGGCTGGAGATTCCTGATCCTTGAGATCCCTTCCAACCTGGGCCATTCTGTGATTCTGTAGGAGCAACCTGTAGGGATGGCCAGCCCCATTTTGAGGGGGAAGGCAAAACCAAGGTGGCATCACCACAAGCCCTCCATTGGGAGCTGCCCGTGGGTGGGAATCCATGGCCAGCACTCAGTGCCCAGAAGTGCTGTCCCATCACCCATCCCATTTCTCCACGGGCTTCACCCTTTTCCCAGCACTGTGAGAGAGATGAAGTGCTTTGGTGTGCAGTAATAACTCAGCTCAGTCCCCGCTGCAGGCCAGGAAGCACCAAGTGATTTCTGAAACATGGTTTTCCTCTGGGTAACGCTGTGCCCTCTCTGCTCTGCAGGAACAGTACGAATTCTGCTACAAAGTGGTGCAGGAATACATCGACGCCTTCTCAGACTACGCCAACTTCAAGTGAAAAATACAACAAACAACCTGAAACAAATGACAGAAGAGTTGCCTTCTTTAATATTTTGTAATATTCTGTTTGTTAATATACCCCTCCCCCAAAATATGTGTATATATCTTAACTGTTTTAGAGGTTGGTACCATAAGCTTCATCTTAGCTGGAGATTTTATATGTAGCAAAGTGTTAGTGCAGATACTGTCAGCTCCTTTTTTTTCCAATGTTTTATTGGGGAATTAAATAGCGTGATGTTTGGATTAATATTGTCACACCATCTCTCTTCTGGAGAGTTGATACAGGCTGTTATTTTGTTTGTAAATCTTTTTTTTTTTCTTTCTCTTGAGGGAGTAAAGCCTTTTTTAAGAAAAAAAAAAAACAAAAGGAAAGAATAATTCTGGATCTCATCTGAACCAATAACCCACAAGCAAGCACAAGCTTTTGCAAACCTGCAGGGAAATGGTTTCACATTTTTCTGCCAGTCAGCTCTTTAAAATAAGGAGAAAAGAAACCAAACCAACTTATTCTGTGTGTGTGTATGTATCTAAATATCCTAATTTTTGTGTAAAAAAAAAGAGAGAGAAAAAGCATTCTCTCTCAGGGTCAGGCCATCACATTGGGGTTGGAAAGCTGAACCTGGCAGCGTCTGTTGGGATTTCAAGCAAAACGAAGAGGGGGAAAAGAAGAGGAGTTTTGCTCCTTGAAGGAGCTCTGTCCCTTTCTTGGTGGGATGTGGGGGTGCCTGTGCCCATCCCTTTCCCTCCTGTTGGTGCCATTTGGAAATAACTGGGATACAAAATGAATTTGGGTTGTCAGAGCAGAAGGTATAAAATAACTGAGTTTGGAAGTTCCCCTCCCAGAAGAAAAAAAACATGTAAAAACTAATGTTTGTGGCAAGCCAAGGTGCAAGAAGAGCCCTAAGGGCAAAGAAAAGACCTGAGGGCAGAGGGGTGCAGGTGACCATAGTTTATCAGTTTTTGTGGCATCAAGAGCCATTGAATTAATTGCACAGATGTGATTTTAATGAGGTTGGTTTTTTTTCCCCCTCCTCGGTGCTCAGAGCAATGTTTTGGGGCCTGGGGAGCATCCCTGCCCTTTGGCCATGTGCAGAGCTGCTGGAGCATCGCTTTGCAAACAGCAGACAGCTGTAGGTAATCCGGGCTAAATCCACTTCCCACACTCAGCTCCTCTGCTACAAACCCAGAGCTGTGGCCAGGCAGAGATGCAGCATCCAGCCCCATATTTGGAAAAACTGGAGGAGAAGAGGGAAAACAAGGGTTGCCAGCAGTATCTTCTGTACCATCTGCTGCGGGAGGGGGCACTGAGGCACAGAGATTTGCATCCCCCCCCCTCCCCCCCTCTCCATGAGCATCCTCAAGCTCTGGGGTGGGCTCCCACTCAACAAGCACTGGCTGCCATCTCCCCAGGGAGTGGGGTCGACGTCAGCGCTGCCGAGCCCAGCCCTACAAATAGCAGTGCTGAGCTCCTGGGCAGGACGCAGCAACGGCCACCGCCAGCCCAACAGGTGAGTGCGATGCGGGGAGCAGGGTGGTGGGACCCCGATCAGCCCTAGCAGCCCCCAGGTACTTGGCTTTGCTCGTGGGTGTCCGTGCTTGCTGCACCCAAGCCAGCACCCATGGGTGCCTGTCCTATCCAGCATCTGCATCCCCAAACCCAGCTCAGGTGGCACCTTGGGGTGCCCCTCCTTGCTACACCCAGTTTAGCCCCAAAGAGCACCCGTGGGTGATCATTCCCTCCAACATCTCCATCCTGAAACAGGACTCTGGGGTGCTTGTCGTTGCTGCACCCAGCCCAGCCGTATGCAGCACCCATGGGTGCTCTTTCCCTCCAGCACTTCCAATCCCCAAAACAAGCCTAAAAGGCACCTTGGGGCACAGCTTCTTGCAGACCCAAGCCCACACCAAGCAGCACCAATGGGTGCTCTTCTCCCTGTCACCTTCATCCCCAGATGGGACTGTAGGGTGATCAGTGTTACTGCAACCCAATTCAGCATCCATGGGTGCTTATCCCCTGCAGCACCTCCGTTTTCTGATAAAAATGTGGAGTATCCATCTCTGCAGACCCAAACCAGCCCCAAGCAGCACCCACAGATGCCCATCCCTGGGCACCTCCAACCCCAGTCCCAAAAACCACTCAGGAGGTTCTCATCCCTGCTGACCCAGCACTGGTCTGGGCACTGGTTGGCTACCAGCCCCACTCCCCTATTACCTCTCCATTACTTCCCGTTACCCCGCAGCCCTGTTTGGTGCCATGGCTCCTGGTGGCTGCCTGCTGCTGGCCCTGCTGCTGCTGGCAGGCACTGTGCAGGGCCAGCACTGGTCCCACGGATGGTACCCAGGGGGCAAGAGAGACCTCAGTGCCCCACAGGTAGGGACCCTGCGTCCTTTCCCACATCATCCCCTAACCCTAACCCTGTCCTCACGTATTGCCCCCTCAGTGCTCTCACCACCTCCCTCCAATAACCCCCCCTTTGGGTTATTCCCCCCCTATTGCTACGAGCACCCCCAGATTTACAGCTCTCCATATTACCCCTCCCGATTGCCCCCTCTCTCCCAGGTTATTCCTGCCAGGGTTACGAATCCCCCCATTTATTCCCCTCCAACCCTATGGGATTATCCCCCAAACCCAGAAAAATTCCAGCCTGCATCTTTCCCCTCCCTGCCCACCCATGGCATTACCCACACCCAGTTTCCCCCTTCCTCAGGGTTATTCCCCTTCTGGGATTATACCACCACCCCCCTCCATGGGATTATTCCCATTCATATCAATCCCCGTTGAGACTCTTCCCATTCCACACACACACACTGGGATCACCCATCCCCAGAATTACCCCACATACACAGATTACGCCCTTTCACACAGGATTATACCCCCACATGGGATTATTCCCACACACAAATGGGATGAAACCTCTTCATAACTTCACACCCTTCCACACAGGATTTACCTGACACAGGGGACTACTATCTCACAGATTACCCCTCCATAGGATCATCAACCACTCACACATGGGGGTTTTTACCTCACACTCTGGGTTATTACCCTCGGGACAACCCCCCACCCGCAGGTCCCCGCCGCACTCCGGCCCTGCCCGACCCCGCCGTGCCGCCCGCTCCAGCCGATGCCCTCAACCCTCCGGGCCGCAGTGTGGCGCCCTCTGGAGGCCGCCCTGCGCCAGCCGCATTGAGCAGCCCTACGCTGCACTACATTTCCCATCGTGCCTCGCTCCGCGCTCTCCTCTCATTGGTCCGCTACTCCCGCCTTGTTCGCGTCACATCCGGCCTGCTGCTGGCCGCCATGTTGGCGGCGCTGAGGTATTGCGGTCCGCGCTCCTTCCCCGCTGCCGTCACCGGGCCTGTCCCTGCTTGGAACCCGTGGTTGGTGCCGTGTCGGGGCCGCAAATCGCGGCACGATCCCCCCGCCAAATCTAAAGCGTCGCGGCTGAAAGTGCCTCCTCCTGTCGACCCAGCCGAGCTCTATGTGGTCACCGAACGATACCGGCAGCACCGCCTGGTGCTCGGTGCCCTCCGGTACCGGCGGGGCTGAGAGAGGGTGGGGTGGGCGGGTGTGGGGCTGTTGTGGGGCAGAGGAGTTTTGGGGAGAGTGTGGGACTACTGTGGGGGTCTCTGTGAGGCGGCTATGGGACTGTTTGGGGGCAAAAATCGGGCTGGTGGTGGGGCTGGGGCATGTGGTGGGTATGAGCACTGCTTTGGGGCAGGGTATAATTTGGGGAGTGGTCCAGAGTGGCTGTGGGGCACGGATGTGGCTATGGGGCTGCTGTGGGGTGGAATGTGGGGTTGTGGTGTGGTATAAGGCTGCTATGGGGCAGGGGGAGGATTTTGGTCTCGCTGTGGGACTGCTGTGGGGCAGGATCTGGTTGATGGAACCGTTTTGGGGCAGGGTATGTCACTGTGGTGGGGTAGGGGAGGGTTTTGTGGATGCAGGGTGCATGTGGTGCAGGGAATGGGTATAGGGCTGCTGTAGGTGGGATCAGGATGGTTTGGATGGAGGAGGATTTGAAGGGTGGGTAATAGGGTATCTTAAGGGTAGAGGAGGACTGGGGAGATTCTGGAGTGACTTTGGGGCAGGATTAGGGTATGGAGGTATAGAGTGGGATTGGGACTGTGGAACTATTTTAGGCCAGGATATGGAGTTACAGTGCATCTGTCATTCACAATGTGATTGGGTATGGGGCTGTTTTGGGGCAGGGGATGTCTGGGGGAGTCCAGAGTGGCAGTGGGGCAGAGGAGAGCTGGGGGGAGTGTGAAAGTGATGTGAGGACTGGCTGAAGGGTTACACTGGGCTGGCAGAGGGGTGGATGTTGAGCATCGCTGGGAATGTGGGCTGAATGTGGGGGGGCTGAATGTGGGGCTGTGCTCAGTGCCCTGCTCCTTGGCAGCTCTATCTTCAGGTCCGAGGTGGTGCAGAGGAAGCATGAGGCACAAAAGGATGCTGAGGACTCAGCAGCACTGTCAGAGGAGCACCGTTTGCTGATGGCCTGGAACGATGCTGAGAATGCACGACAGCGGGCACGCAGGTGAGGGCAGGCAGCCTCAGTGCTAACTGCTGCTTCAAGTTGTGTTTCAAAACCAAATAAAACATCCAGATAACCAGGCCATGTTTTTGTAAAAATAAACCTGAGTGGTTCATCCCTGCTTGCCGCTGGTGTGCTGTGACTGTCATAGAAAAAAAACAGTAAGATCATGAAGTCTAACTGTCAACCCATCCCCACAATGCCCACGGGCCATGTCCCTCAGTGCCGTGTCTCTGTGGTTCTTGAGCACCTCCAGGAACGGTGATTTCACAACTTCCCTGGGCAGCTGTGCCAATGCATTGCCACTCTTTCTGAGAAGAAGTTCTTCCTGATTTTTAACCTGAGATATTTCTCTGTTTTCACTCCTTTTCTGCTCCCATGGAGCCATCCCCTGGTCAAGCATTGGAAGTGCACTCAGAAAGTCAAAGCAGTCAGCAGATGAATTCAGGCAGAGGTTAAAGGGATGAAGCCTGTTGGTCTGCTCCTCCATTTCTGCTGCACTCAGACCTGCAGGCATGGTGCCCCAGGGATTGATGTGTCTCACTCAGGTCATAAGTACCTAACATAAGTTTTCTTCTTTCCCAAATGGCAGAGAAGAAAGAATTAGGAAAGAAGAGGAAGAACAGAAGATGCAGAAGCTGCAGGCTGCAGAGAACAAAGCCAAAGTGATGGAGGCCTTTCTGAAGGAGAAAGAGAAAGAAGTCCTGCAACTGCAGGTGAGAGAAGCTGGGGGATACTGGGCAGATGGCTGCCACCATCCGTGTGAGTGACGCTCTGGTGGCCCACGTTCTGTGGAAGGGAAATGTTGGCTCCTTCCTGGAGCTTGAGGAAAGGACGGAGGTTAAGTGAGAGCTCAGACAGCAGGGATAGGAATAATCACAAGTGAGGGAGTTACGGTGCTGTCTTTCAAACTGACTGCTGGGATGTGAGGTTGGCACGTCTGCAGGAGCCCCACAGCCAGCAGCGGTGTGTGCAGAGGTGCTGGCAACCTCCTGCGGCGCCGATGTGCCCAAAGGCAGATCCTGGTGACCCTTGGGGCTTTCTCTGGTGGCGTGTGCTAACAGCCAACACTCCCCTTTTTCCTGCAGGAGGAAGCAAAAACCTTCATCACTCCTGAGAACCTGGAGGCTCGGATTGAGGAGTGCCTGGACAACCCTCGCAACTACAACTTCGCCATTGACAAAGAGGGACGCATCGTCAAGCGCACTGCACTGTCCTAGCAGCTCTGTCTCATGGCTGAAGGGGATGTGCTGGCCTGGCCTCCACCTGGAGGCCAGGGTTTTTCCTTTTAATGCACAAATCAGCCACAGAATTGATGGACAAACAGCCTGCTTCCTGTGCTGCTGTTGCAGAGGTAGGGGGAGAGGAGGGAAATGGTGTTATTTTGAGGTGCAGAGCAGCGCTCTGCCTCAGTCCTGCAGTGAGGCAGGCAGGAGGAGGAGGAGCTGCTGGTATTCTGCTCCTGTTGCTCTGCAGTTCCACCTCCTTCTGGTTGGATCCCCACTGCCCTTGGCTTGGAGGTGAGGTGGAGCAAGGCAGACTCCAAGGCAAATCCTCAGTGGTTTTGCACTGGAGAGATCTCATCCTTTTGTCTCCTCCACTCAGCTGAAGCACCTCAATCTCTGGTCACTCTCCCTTTATCTTTAGCCTTCTGATTTGTTTTTCTGCACTCAATTGGTCTTAAATACGTGCAAGAAAAAGGCACACCTGTCACAGGTGAGGTTGGGCCTTGCACAGTAACACATTGCAGGGAGATTGTATCTGACTGGTTTTGCACCCTTACCTCTGTGGAACCCTGTGACTACATCTGCTTCTGGCACAAGCCCATCATGGCCTCTTGTGCCGGTGGCCCCAGCACTGTTTGCATTTCTGCCCCTCTGGATGCCTTTGATGGAAAACAAGGTCTGGATTGTTTTGTAGAAAACACAGACGCTGTGTTTTTTGTTGGTAGGTGAAATAAATCATTGTTTCTGTGTTTTCTGCTATGGTGGAATGACCTGTTGTTCCTGTTCATCCTTTAAACCCTCCCTTGCCTTTCGGTACTTGAAGGGAGTTTATAAACAGGAGGCAAACTGATTTTTCTGTTTTTAATTACATGGTGTAATAGTGATAGGATAAGGGGGAATGGTTTTAAACTAAAAGAGGGGAAATGTGAGGTAGATAGGGGAAATTCTTTGCTCAGAGAGTGGTGAGAGAGTGGTGATAATGCTGCCCAGAGAGCTGTGGGTGCCCCGTCAGTGGAGGTGCTCAGAGCTGGGTTGGATGGGGCCCTGGGCAGCCTGAGCTGGTGAGTGCAGCCTGCCCACCTAGTGGAACTAGATGGATTTAAGGTCTCCAACATGAGCCATTCTAGGATGATTTTTAGCACAACAAAATTAAGAAAATCACAGAGGACTTCTGAACAGCACCGTCTCAGTAGGATCCTAGAGCTAAACCAGGCAAGGATGGAGAAAAGCACACAAATACTTTTTTTTTTAATTCTCTCCAAGTTTTATTTCTAATTAAGAGCATCACTTCAATCTGAGTCATGGTGCTGGGTGCTGCGCTGGTGCAGCCCATGGGACAGCAGATCCTGCTGGTTTTTCCTCCTATGCAAACAGCATTTCTTGGTTGCAAGATGAGTCAAGCACGCAGCCCTCTGCTCAGGAAGAGAAGAGGAAATGAGCACCAAGCAGCCCTCAGAGCTCCATCCCTGTGCTGTTTTGAATAACATCAAACAACTTGGCCTCGGTGCCCCGCAGTAGCGACAGGTCCATCCTCAGTAACGTCCTCCCCCTCCCTGTTCTGTACCACAGCCCTGGGGTGGATGTGAGCCCCCCCCCTGGTCTCCCCACGTTGCTCACCACTGCTGCAGCAGATTCCTGGTGCTGCACAGCTCGCCCCATCCTCGCCGCAGGCTTTCCTCCCAGACTCACAGGGCGTTGGCAGGAAGTTCTCCTCCTGGCACCGCAGGGTTTCAGAGGTACCCAGGTAGCAGCCCAGCTCCTCCCCACAGCAGATGTTGGGGCCAAAGCAGTGGCCTTTGTTCCTGGGGCCGCAGGGCAGGCACTGCTCAGGGCATTGAGAAACAGCGTTAGGGATTGAGCCTGATCTCCCTGCCCTCTGCCAGTGTGCTTGTCCTCATCTTGCTCTCAGCTCAGTCCTCATCCCAGTGGTTTGCTCTGGAAGGTTCTGGCTTTGTTTTCATGTAGGAGTGGTGAAAAGGCGTTGATCTTTTCTCCCAGGTAACAGTGGAAGGATAAGAGGGAATGGCCTCACACTGCACCAGTGGAGGTTCAGGTTGGATATGAGGAAAAAATTCTTCAAAAGAAAAGGCATTGACACAGGTGGCACAGTGCTGAAATCCCCAAACCTGGAGGTGTTCCAGAGCTGGAGATGAGGCACTGAGGGATGTGCTGGGGTTGAACTTGGTGCTCTTAGAGATCTTTTCCAACCCGAATGATTCCATGACAGTCGTGGCTTTAGTCAAATGGCTGATCATGCACCAAATTCACCCTCCAGAAGTTAACATTCTACATAAAAATGGTGCCACTGCCCCATTGGAATTGTTTTTTTTCCCAGCATTGAGAAAAAGCAATGGGTTTTCATCAGCATATTGCGTCTGGCTGCCTTTGCAGCTTCCTTTTCCCTCCCCATCCCCAAACTGCTTTGCTTTAAGATTCCCCCCTCTCTGAATCCCAGTTCCTATAACATCCATGCACCTCACCTTGCTGTTTGGCAAGCTCAGAGCTGCCCGATGAAGGGGTGGCCGGTGCTCTCACAGCCCCCCCAGCCCACAGGGACCTACCTTCCTGATGTCCATGTCTGGCACGGCACGCTTGCCCCCAATGGGGCAGTTCTGGATGTAACAAGCTGAGGAGAGAGCCAGGAGCCCCAGCAGGCAGACGGTGAGCGCCCTGTAGGACATGGCTGCAGGATCAGGATGCTTCTGGGTCTCGTCCTGGCCAGCAGCAGTATTTATAGGCCCCCCCTGCTAATTATACACGCCAGCACCATCGTCATTGATTTCCTGTTAAAAACACAAGGCGTTGCTTTCCACACCAAAGGGCTCGGCTAATAACTGGAGGTCGAGGACGTGAGGTCGGTGCTGTGGTGCTGATTTGCTTAGTGCTCGCTTTGACCGCTGTAAGGGGATGCACAGGGGCTGCAGGTGTTTTTTTTGGGGGGTGAAACCTTCTTGGATGGCCACGCTGTGGTTTTGTGGCTCCTTGTCCTGCTTGGCCAAACCCTATGGGTTGGGTAGGGTTGGAGTTTGGTGATGTGTCCTCCTGGTAGCAGGGTGAATGGGGTGAGCTGAAGTGAAACTGTGTGCCGGCTGGGATTTGAATCTCTTCTGGTGGGAGGAAAAAAAGTAAAGCTGGAGAGCTTTGGGTTGTGATATGTGGTGCCTGGTCATTCATGCCCATCTCTACCTGGTGTTAGGGGTGCTCAGCAGCGTGCATGTCCCATCTGGGAGCGTGGTGACATCACTGAGCATTCCCTAGACCATCCCACCTTCTCAAAAATACCCAATTTACCCATTGGCAAATGCTTGAAAACCCAAATCTCCTGTAACTTCTGCCCTGGAGCCACACACATGGCATGAGTACAGCCAGCCTCCAAGGCCTGAACCTCCCTGCCTTTGTTACTGCAATTAAGGGCTTCCTGACTTGAATAAATCCACTCATTCTGGACAACGGCTTACGTCTATGGAGACCGTGACCCTGGTCCTTCCCAGTGCCTGCTTAATTGGGGAATGCAGAGCCCAGTGCCACAGAGCTGTCACCTCTGCCATCCCCTGTGCCCTGTGTCTGGTCTGCCACTTAGTGGGGTCGTGTGGAGCGGGCTGAGGCTGCAGCTGGAGCGCAGGGCTCCATACTAATGGGGTGGGATGGGGGCTGGTCACCGTGTCGGGGTGACGTGGGCCAATGGGAGCACCACTACCCCAAGGTGCCACCTCCCTGTGGGGACATTATAAAGGCCAGTTGTCTCCACAAAGCAGCCAGATGCCAGCCCAGGGGGACAGGCGGATGATGGGAACAAGGGACGTGGCTCCTTTTGGGGACGCAGCCTGGAGCAGGGAACCCAAAAGGGTAAGAAGTTTAGGCAGCATCTGCCCAAATAGCCCCGGGTTTGGGGGTGTTGTGGGAATGATGTGGGAGCAGTTTGGTGAGTGTTGGTAGTATTGCTGCCATGGGAAGATCATACGTGTGATTGGGTTCAACTGGGAACCCAAAGCTTGTGGCTTTGGGATGTTTGGGTTTTTGAGTTTGAGGTATTTTGGGAAGATAGTTTCTGGGGTTGGTTCAGCTGGGAACCCGAAGCTTGTGGCTTTGAGGGGTTGGGGTTTTGGTGTTTGGGGTATTTTGGGAGGATAATACGTGTGATTGTGTTCAACTGGGATCCCGAAGCTTGCAGCGTTGAGGGGTTTGGGGCATTTTGGGAGGATAACACACGTGGTTGGGTACAACTGGGAACCCAAAGCTTGCAAGTTTGGTTTTGAGGGTTGGGGAATTTGGGATGGTTTTTCTTCTTTTTATCCCATTTAGGATGTTGGACCTGGCCAAAACCACAAGTCTCACGGAGGGGTGAGATGTGATCTGTACAAGGTGTAAGCCCCAGAACCTCTGCCAGGACCTGAACACCAAATCCTCACTTCCCAAAGGCAACAAAACCCCAGAGTGCAAGGAGGTGACGGCGTCCAAAGGCAGATCCCCCATCACAAATCTGGGGACAGGGTGTGAAAAGGAGGTTGGAATCCATGCATGCTGGTGGGATCCTGGGGTGAGGATGGATGGCCTCAAATCGTGGCTCTGGATGGGATTTTTCCCTTTTAGCACCAGGGGGCACCAGCTCAGCAAAATCCTGTCGAATGGGGGCTGAGCCTCCAAGGTGGAAAACAGTGGAAATGGGAAAATGGGTTCAGGGAGTCAGAGGAAGGCATGGCACCCACCCACGTGGCCCCATCCTGCCCATCCCCAAGCTCCCAATGTACCCTGGAGCTCAGCACTCCCCCTTTATCCCCAACACCTCAGACAAAGCCAGCACAGTGCAAGAGGACTTTATTAGATCTGCTATTTACAACGGGTCCTGCTGATATCCCAGCTGCTCAGAGGCCAGGCTGCTTGCCCTGCTGCTGCCTGTTGGCCAGGTGCATCAGCCTCAGCAGTAGGTCCCCAGCTGTGCCATCCAGCACTGTCAGGTTCTTCTCCTCTGCCTCTTCTGGCTGTTCACTGCCTTCCTCCAGGCACACAGCATCCATGGCACATGTGTCTGCAGTGGGGAAAGATCACAGTTAGGAGCAGTTGGTTTCAGGTCGTAGAATCGTAGAATGGGTTGGGTTGAGTCGGGTTGGGTTTGGATGAGTTGAGTTGGGTTGAATTGGGTTGGGTTGAGTTGGATTGAGTTGTGTTGGGTGGAGGGATCTTAAAGATCGTCTGTTTCTCATCAGAGAAGCCCAAACTCCAGCTTTATTGCTCCCATTAATGAGGAAGCAGGGATTTTTTGTGGTTTGTGTGTCCAGCAGAGGGATGTCTCAAGGTGGAGACATGGGAGGGAGCTCTGAGCTCCATCTCTGTCCCAAGCTGGCAACATCATCTGCTTTGTGCCCCCATTTGGAGGATGCTGGTTCAGAAGGTGAATGCTAATTTTGGGGGATGCTGATTTTTGAGAACGCTGGTTTGGAGGATGCTGCTGCTTTGGGGAGGGACGCCGATCCTTTTGCAAAGCACCAGAGCACTCACCAACCCTTTGCAACCCCCCAGTCCACCCCAGTCCCCATTAACCCTTCCCACCCCCAACCACCTCAGCTCCACCCACTCCCCATCTCCCACCACCGAGCATTATCACCCCCAAAACTCCCACCTGCCCCCCTTACCAGCACTGCAGCAGACACCGTTGGCAGCGCAGCGCCCTCCGGAGCCGCAGGGCTGCCCACCAGCCTGGCAGGGTGAAGGCACGTAGTCCTCCTCAGCGCAGCGCCGTGTCTCTGCCGTGCCCAGGTAGCAGCCCAGCTCTGCACCGCAGCAGATCCCGGGTCCGAAGCAGCGACCCCTGTTCCCTGGTCCACAGGGGAGGCACTGCAGGGACAGAGCATGTTTGAGTGCCCATCTTTGAGCTCAGAGACCCCCTCTAAGACCTATTTTCTGCACATCGCACAGTGACGCCTGGCCTGTCCCCACCTTTGCCATCTGACGCAGTGGCTTGGTCCCGAGGCCACCCTCCTTTGTCCCCCCCACAAATGCTCCTGTACCCCCAGCTCAGCCATCGCTTCGGGACCAAGCTCTTGGCCCTGTCTCCCAACCCAAAGATTGATTGGCACCAACCAGCAGATGCCAACAACCCCCAGCAAGTTCCAATACCCAGCAATTGTTGGGCACCTTCCACACCCCACACAGCCCCCATTTACCCCCGTGCCTCCATACCTGCCGCAGGGCTGTATCACCCAAAGCCCTCTTGCCACCCCGGGGGCAGTTCTGGATGTAGCAGGCAGAGGATAAAGCCAGGAGACAGAGGAAGGAGAGGGGCAGCGAAGGCTCTGCCATGCTGTGTGTGCCCAGAGCGATGCCACGCGTGTGGGGAAAGCTGCCCTGCCGTTCGTTGGCTGCGCTGTGTGTCTGGCACTGTGCTGTGCTGGTGCCTATTTATGCTGCTGTCTCCCCTTCCCAGGGGGAGGAGAAGGAGAAGGAGGGCGGGCTGTTGTCTTTTTTTTTTCTCCCCCCCCTTGTTTTCTTTCCCAAATTGCATCCAATCGAATCTGTAATCGAGGTGATTCAGTGCTGAAGCGCACGCGGCGGCGCTCAGGGACAGCGAATCCCCTGAGCAGGAGGAAATCTGGGGGCATGGACCCCTGGTGTGGACAAAGGGAGGGTTGTGGGAGTTTGGGAAGGGCTGAGAGTTTGGAGGGAGCTGGATTAGCAAGAGAGTGTTTTGGGGATGTGGGTTTGGAGGGTATCGGTTTAGGGGGGATGTGTGTTTGGAGGGTATCGGTTTAGGGGGGATGGTGGTTTGGGAAAGGATGGTGGTTAGGAGGATAGTGGTTTAGGGAAGGATGCTGGTTTGGAGGGTGCTGATTTAGGAAGGTACCAGTTTGGAGGATGAGGGTTGGGGGTGAGATGTGATTTTGGATGATACGGGTTTAGAGAGGGATGCTGGTTTGGAGGAGACTGCTTTGAAAAGGAACGTCAGTTTGGACGATGAGGGTTTGGAAGATGCTGGCTTGGGAAAGGTATTGATTTGGAGGATGAGGATTTGGGGAGGGATGCTGGTTTGGAGGATGTTGGTTTAAAGCAGGATGCTGGTTTGGGAAGGGATGCTACTTTGGAGGATATTGTTCTGGGGAGGATAACAGTTTTGGAGGATGAGGATTTGGGGAGAAGTGTGATTTGGGGGGATTCTGGTTTGGAGAGGGGTTTTGGTGGAGAAGGGATGCTGGTTTAGGGAAGATACTGATTTGGAGGATGAGGATTTGGGGAGAGATGTTGTTTTGGAGGACGTTAATTTGGAGGATGCCAGTTTAGCGGGGATTTTGATTTGAGGGTTGTTAGTTTCGAAGTGATGCTGGGTTGGAGGATGCTGCTTTTGGGAAGGGATGCTAATTTGGAGATTGCAGCTCTGGGAGGGATGTAGCACTGGGAGCAGGGCTGGACCACGGCTCACTGTGATGCAAAGACCCCCACTGCAACCCAGCCCAGGGGACAGCCATCCCCCGCCATGAATATTCCTGCTGGTCTCATGTTCCCACTCCAGCAAAGCTGAGGGCGACCTCCCCGACGTGAAATTAATATGCAGAGGGGAATCAGGAGCCTAATGAGCATCCGCCGTCCTGGTCCCAGCGGCGGTGAGGAGGGGCTGTGGGAGGGATGGGGACGGGCAGTAGGGATGCTGTGATCCCACTGCTGGGATGGTTTCCTGCTCTTTGAGCACCCCCTGAAATCACCTGCACTAAAGATGAGGGACAGGGGCAGAAAACAACAGAAAAAATAGAGCTGCAAAGGAGAAACTGAGGCACGGAAGGGTAAGGGTGGGCTCACAGCTTGGGGTGATGCTTATGGTGTCGGCGATCCCAGTCCCAGCCTGGGATGGATGCATCCTCTGGGAGTGTTGGTCCTGGATTTGAGAGCTTGGGGATGAGGGCAGTGGCAGTGATGAATCATTAAGGCTGTACCTTAATGACCAACATCATTAGCGTTGCCCAGCCCGGCCCTCCGTGCTGCTCACAGCGGGTGCCCAACCCGCTGGCGTTGCAGGGCCGGGGAGGATGTGAAAGCACTGGGATGGGAAAACTTTTCTTTAAAGAAGCCCAAAATGTCACGTCTAAATTGGGAGTTTCGTGCTCATGCTCTGTCTCTTCATTACTGTATCGTAAAATTACATTAGTCAGAACGAGCTGCATTCAAATGACTCTGTGTCTGGAATGATAACGGGGGAATATGAGATTAAAATGTAATTATGCTCTTTAAAGTCAAGGAAGGTTAATAAAATGTTTTCCAAGTTGCAGAGGCTCCGCAGCCACAACGCAGAATCACTTACTGAAATCAAGGGGAGGACGGGGAGGGATGGAGCTGGGAGGGAGGATGGATGCAGAGCACAAAAAGAGTGTTTGGGGGGTGAAAACATCAGGGTCACAGTGGGGGGACATCAGGAAGGCTCAGGCAATGGGGCCGTGGGGCAGAGATGGTCAGGAGCATCCTGCAGGGCAGTGCTACCCAAGGCCCTGCAACACTGCGGGGCTCCCTGAGCTCATGGGATCCTTTCTCTGCATCCCCAGCACTGCTGTGCCACGTTCCATTTCATCCCCAGGCTCCTGCAGGCCCCTTCGTTAGCGCTGAGCTCCTAACGACGTGGTTACGGCTGCTTTAGGGTGATTAACCAGCACAGTTAGCTGCCTGCAGGGAACTTTGAGAAGCCTTTGCTCTGTGCCAGTCACTATCAAGTCACGCTTGCAGAGGGAACGCATCCATCTCCTGTCTGGAGAAAGTGATGCTCCCCAAATTGGCCCTTTTTTCGTGATATTTAGCAGCGACCGGGGCTCCTCCACATCCGTCAGAGGAGCGTCACTCGGTCACTGTGTTCTGATGGCTGATGGGGCTTAATGGTGGCAATGGGGAGGGGATGCAGGGGCCATCAGCCCAGCTGACGGATGGGGACAACAGCCTGTGCAGGCAGAGGGCCACCGGTGGCTCTTCCCCAGCTCCCAAGGAGAAAACGTCAGCCCGAACCACGCTGCCTGGCAGCAAGGCTGGGTGAGAAACTCCTGGGCAGAAGGGATGCTGCCATAGCTTCGAGCTCCGTTGGAAGCAGTGAGGACAGGCAAGGAGATGGCTGCACAGCTGGGGAGCTGGGAGCTTGGGGCGGAGGAGGTGCGAGCTGAATCACTCCTGGATGCTTCCTGCAAACCCAGCAGCACCAGTGAGATTTCTGCTAGCCTCCGAATCGCATGACTTTGAGGAATCTGACTGCTGATGAGTTAAAGATAGGGGGGGCTTCCAATTGTGCTGCAAATGGAGATGGATGATGAACACCCACTGGTGCAGACAAGGAGAAAGATCAGCTCAGCTCCAGCACAAAGCGGTGTCCCAATTGCTTGATGAGGCTGCTATTTGCTCAGAGCAGAAAGCCACCAACTTTATGGGCTGCTCAGCACGGCAGCACCTGTTAAGAGAACAGAGGTATTACACGTAGTTGGTTCAGCTGGAGGCTCATTACCCCAGAGAAAGTGGCACAGAACATCAATAAGAAATGTTGGCTCTGCAGAGAGAAATTATCAATGAAGTGGCAGCGGTTGGGGGGGGGGGGGGTGGAGGGAGGTGCAGGTGACAAAATCCTCTGCTGTCACCCTCACTGAATTCAGGATGTGCTGCATACAGAATGCATCTGAGTGATTTTCCCTCTGGCCTTTTTCTGAGCAGCTCTGTGAAGAGCAGAACTCCTCCGAGCGGGATACGTGAGGTTCAGTCCCAAAACCCCCCGGTGAGAGCTCACAAGGCTGTGCCACAGTGCCTCTGAAAGCTGCGGGGCTACAGCTCTTCTTTTTGTGTCGACGTGGCTTTTTCCAGCCCATTTATTCAACACTCCGCCAACAGATTCACCACACGAAATCATTAACACGCACAGTGAGGCCAATTACGAGTCAGAGAGAGAACCTGACTTTAACCATAATTTTATTAAGGCTTAAATGTCTATCAGCCAGACGGGAGCCGGTCCAGTCACACGACAGAAACCGAGAGGGACGTCCTGTGTAATGCAATGACTTTTCTACACGAGTCCAGGGACGAGATCCCTGCCAGCACTCGGGCATCAGCTGCTCCTCTCCTGCCTTGCTGCAGTGGGGAAGGATGAGTGATGTGTGAGGGGAGCTGGAGGGGGGGAGGGGAGAAGTAATGTCGTTTGCACGTTGCCAACCTCGAGGACATTTCCTGGTCCACGGCCGAATGGCTGCTCGTCAAATGTTTAAATGGTTTTAAGTCACAGGGAAGCTAAACTCACTGTCCAAAAAGGCACCTATGCTAACCACTGAGCCACTGGGATGGTGGTAAGAGGGCGGGTGCGACAGGTGGAAATCAGTTCTGTATAAATACACGTTCCTTGTTAAAGAAGCTATGGCTTTTATTATCCTCAAGATCGCTTTCTGCTCCGGCACGATGCTCTAACCCCCCCCACTACTCTGTAAGCACAAGGAGACTTCTCCACGATGCTCATCTGGCCGTCGTCCTTGCATAACCCACACAGATACGTGGGACAGCAGCAGCTCCTGTTCTCCTCCCCAGGCATTGTTAGAAGTGGACCCTCCTGATGTCGTGCGTGGCCACTGACCTCTTGCAGCTCACACACAGGATGGACAGAGCTTTCTGCTTCTCAGCCAAGCACGGGCGACACATGAGGTGGCCGCAGGGAAGCTGGTAGATGGGCTCTGTTTTGAAGTAAGATGAGAAGGTTTTGCCACAGGACGTGCATCCCTGGGTCTGGCTGCTCCTGCTGTGCTCTGCGAAGCCAAGAGGAGAAGCAGTGTGGTCAGGGACATGTGACAAGTGCCACCCCGAGCCGGGCACAGAGGGCTGGAGGTGCCCATAGCTCAGGACCACAGCCTCTTTTTCCCAAGCCTACCATAAAATTTGGTGGGCATGGTGGTGGTGGTAGGGTAAGGATTGGACAAGATGACCTTCGTGGTCTTGTCCAACCTTAATCTTAGAATCATTTGTGTTGGAAGGGACCTTTCAAGGCCATCTGATCCACCTCCCATAATGAGACCCACAGCTCTATCAGGTGCTCAGAGCCCCATCCTGCCTGCCCTGAATGTCTCCAGAGACGGGGCACCCACCACCTCTCTGAGCCTCACCATAACAATCTTTTTCCTTATATCCAATCTCAGTCTCCCCTCTTTCAGTTTAAAACCGTTTCTCCATGTCCTATCACAACAGATCCTGCTCAAGAACCTGTCTTCTTGTTTCTGGTATGTAGATATTGAAAAGCTGCTATCAGGATTCTGTGATTAAAAAAAAAAGAAGGCTCTGTCTTCGGGAAGGGTTGGAGCCCAGGTATGGGCTGGATCACATCAGCCTTTGCACCATCAGGCTTTTAACAGATGACGATACAGCTTTTCACTTTTTTTCTGAGATTGAATTGGCCTCCCTTCCTCTTTTCCAGCACTTGAAACAAAATCCCTGATTCCCACGTGAAACACCATAGGCATCATCTTGCATTCCTGTCACACGCTGCCTATAAAGGGCTACTCAGTCAACTCTTCAACAGCAGCAATTTAAAAGGGGACAGTAAAAAGCTTAATGGCTTAATGCCACTGTGAAACATCAAAAGCTATTCAGAGAGACAGGCAGCCAGTGGGAGCTGCCCAGCCCAGTCCTGCCTCAGGGACACAGGAGCCTCCTCCAGGGAAAGCAGCAGCCAGCAGTGAGCACATCACCTTGTGGAGGGGCATCTTTTAGATCCAGGGCTTCCAACACAGCTTCTCTGAATCCCAAAGACATCTTTTTGCATGGTGCCATTGATCACCACGTCTAGCTTCACAGCTACATTAAAATCTGATGGGACTCTGAGAACAACCATGGCTCACCGGCCAAAGAGGCACGGAAAGATGCTGAGCTGCAGCACAACCCTCCCTATAAACCTGGTCCCTGTTCTCCTTTCCCATTTGCTGCTCACCGAGGATGGAGCCCATGTTCCATGAAGTGCTGCAGCCTCCCTCGCCCTGCTGGCTCTTCATCAGCTTGGCTGTGAATGATGGCATGGAGCTGAGCGCCGAGTTCAAGGCGGTGTCCAAGCTCTCAGACAGCTTTTGTTCGTGAGAGAGCAGATCTGCAACAAGAAGCACAAGTTTGAGAGGCTTGTGCTGGGGAAAGGCTGTTGGTGTGCAACAAAAACGCTGTGGTTACATCTCTCAAAGCTTTGCCACTTGTTTTCTGAAGAAGCCTCTTCCCCATCACGGTGTCAAGATGGGGATGTAATGCTTCCAACTTTGAGCCCTCGAGAGGAAAACTCTGGATTCACACAACAATGTCATAAAGTCAAAAAGACCACAAAGCCCATCAAGTCCAACTGCTGACCCACCGCCGCCGTGCCCACTAACCTGTGTCCCTTGGTGCCAACCAACTTTCAGGCACCTCCTTATATCTCATAGTCTGAATGAGGTAAAAGATTCATAAACGTTCTTCAGAAGCCCTGAGGCTGCTAACAAAATCAGAGGCACAACTCTTGGCTCCAAAAAAACCAGCATTGCATCAGTGGATAAAGCCAAAGGTACAGGGCTGGATCCTTCCTGAAGGGCACGACAGTGTTTTGTCTGATGCATTCCCAAAGCCCTGCTGTTAATTGAGACTGTGCATTAAGAGCACGGTGTCTGCATCACTAATTCTGCTCAATCCAGCTCCCACAGGGATCCTGTGTGCGTTACCCCTGCACATTTGCTGCAGCAATCAAGGCTGACAAAGAACTATCCCACGAGGCTGTGCCTGTGTTCACATGCAGGCACGGCTCCCTGGGAGCACCAGGACCCAGCCTGCACCAATCCACACCACTTCCTCCAGCATGGAATGATGGATCAGAGCAGGAAAGCACACTCCAGCCTCTGCTGTTGCTGGTACTGATGAAAATTAATTACTTTAAGTCTTTAATGAGCTTGTTTTAAGTCAAATACCCATCTAAGCTTTCTTGAAGCATAACCCTTCAGCAGTTTTGGGAGGAAGAGGAGTGGAGTGCTGCATACCTGCAGGATACAGCAGCTTTCAGGAGCTGTGGAGCATTGTTTGGTGCCACTGCTTCCTAGGGAAACTCAACTTACCTGCCCAGAGGAACGGCCCTCTGTGACCGCCCTGCACACACCTGACTGCCTGCAACACAGCCCTGCTGCTCCCTCCAGCCTCACACAAATGTGAGACAGCAACCAGTGGGGCTTCTGCCTGCAGCAGTGACTGTGTTTGACAACACCAGAGGGAAGATGCAAGCGTTGCTGTAC